ATTATCCTTTACTAAAATGTTTTGTTGTTGGCGTCTCTCTGATTGGGGTTTGATTGATTTATATTGGATGATTGATTAATTGATCGATCGATTGATTGATTAATTGATCGATGGATTGAGTAATTCGTTTGATTGATTTATATTGGATGATTGATTGATTGATTAATCGATTGATTGATTGATTAATTGAGTTATTGATTGATTGATTAAGTTATTGAGGTATTGATTCATCGAGTGATTGAGTTATTGATTGATTCATGGAGTGATCAATTGAGTGATATGACTGCTTGCTTCTTGCATATATGATGACTGCTTGCTTGCTTAATGCATGTATGCATGCCTGCTTGCCTATTGCATATTTCTTGTTAGTTTTGAATTAAAACCTCTGTTTCAAACCTGTGGTTCTCATGAATGAGCTGYCCMGAACCTTGCATTTTGCCGTGGAGCCAGGTCCCTTCRTAAGTAGAGCCCGTTTGTGCATACGTATAAGTTCCCTGACCATGCCTTTTATCATTAACCCATTCTCCCTCGTACTTGTCCTTATTTGGATATGTGTAGATGCCCCAGCCGTGTTTCTGATCATTGACCCAGCTTCCCTCGTACTTGGAGCCATCAGGGTAGTAAAATTCACCTTCGCCATTTTTCTTTCCTGAGAGGTAAAAACCTACATATCGAGCTCCATTTTTGAACCTATAAAATACAACAGCTTATTTAAATTAAACGCATATCTAATGCCACGATTTTTGTAAAACATTTTTGAGGAACTATTTTTCTTACGGCCTCAAAATTAACAACAATTTGCKMCGCAGGCAACGAATAGGGTTTGTTACTGTTACGCTTCGAGGCGGTAATTTTTTTGTTAACAGATTGCCCATGAAAGGTAATCTTTCTAATTCCAAAAGAAATATTTTCGAAAAGTTGTTTTGTTCGGGAGATTTTGATGCTCTATCCAAAAGTGATCCGCTAAACACTGGAAAAAATCGCGCGCTATAAAGGTTGTAAATTTGATGTAAATATGATGTAAGTGTCCAAAATTTTGTTACATCAAATTTACAGAATTTTGGACACTTACACCATATTTACATCAAATATACAAACTTTAAAGCGCGCGATTTTTTCCAGTGTAACAGGGTACAAACCAGGGTGCCGAATGGCAAAATCTTGGTTTCTCCTATATATATGTTGGATGGTACTGGCTAGGTTTAGCCATAGTTAATTAACTATGGTTTAGCCTTAAAAAGCTTGCATATTGGCCTTTTGCATGAAACGGTCACATGGTGCTGAACCCGCCATACTGGATGGCAAAAGAATGTATAAACAACCCCCCCCCCCCCCCCCAAAAAAAAAAAACAACAACAAAAGGAACGCAGCCCGTCAAGATTGACTTTTCTTTGTTTTCAACGTCCCAATGGGTATTTCGCCATGAATCTAGCATTGCCATTGGATTTGGTACGTGACCGTTTCATGCAAAATGCCTATTCCGCCAAAAATTACCATTCTGTATTGTCAATAATAAATGTATTCTAAAATAATATATATTTTTTTCAAACAAATATAAGCCCATAAGCGGAAGCCCATGTAACCAAACAAATCCATATAGATCAGAAGTTCTAAGAGTGTGTACGAAAAAGAAAATTGTTTTAGGAATAATACTTCCTCGAAAGCTTCTAAAACCGTCCCAAAATAAGTACAAAAAAGGCCATACACAAAAGCCTGGCTTAACCAAAACATAAAAACAAACCTCTCCTGTAACTTCGTTCAACTGATATGATTGGAAAATAGTAGTAGGTCTCTCTTATGTTTGTAGCGAAATATTTCAGAATGCGACGACCCAATTGTCAAAATATTGTTTTTTCATACATAGAACATTTGTACATTTTTTTTTGTACATTTACATTTTTGGTAAAACATAATTTATTCAAAAGACATAGGTCAGTCACGCTGAAAGCTTTCTTTTGTCTTTATTAATGCTTTCCGTCAAAACAAAATACAAACGTTTTAGCCTATTTTCCTATGACAGCGTATAGTATATATATACACAGCTATATGCGTTTGGCCATTTGTAAGTTCGAAAATGTTTATATTTATAAACAAAAGAGTACAATTGTATTTCTCTTCAGTTGTGGCATATGTACAGTAAAGATGTTAACTGAGTTTCTCCGATATCGGTTTATGACTGGAATTACTTTTCCCCGCCTTAGTTTTGGCGCATTGAACTTTCAATTATACATTAAGCGCCAAAAATAAGAGCGGGAAAAAAGTAATTCCAGTCGAAAAAAAAAACAACACAACAGCCGTCTTCTGACACTGAGGTTAGCAAGGAACTATGGTTTAATATTGTGCTACTGTGGACTTGCATTGAAGCATGCAACTGATGGCCGGACAGAAAATAGCAACGACGTTTGTTATCAAACATTTCAACTGCAATACAAGTGGATRWAGATTGTATATTTGCGATCATTTTAATTCAATATCATGTTTTCTATATTTGTGTTGATGACTGGAAAAACGTTTCACGCTCTTATAGTTTTGGGTCTCAACTTTCCAGTAATTAATAATCCTGTGAAACCCAACATAATTATCCAAGCTCGACTTACGCTGGCACCGAACTTAATTGATTGCAAGCGAGCTGAACTAGCAGGAACAGTTTGCATGACATCAATTTTATAAGCAAATTAAAATGAAATACTTTGAAATAGAAGAGACGATCAAGCTCTTCAGTGTTAATTAAGCTTTTCTTTTCCGTGAATATAATTAGACTAATTTTTTTCCCGCTCATTTTTGGCGCTCGCGCAGTGTTCTATGGAAATCAAATCATGTGTATCCGACACAAAACGGCTGGGTATAAAAGGCTAGACAAAAGAACGTCAAGCTCTTCRGTCACGACCTAGCAYTGAGTTGTGTACAAGTTSTTGATTGGAATCGAAGAAGTTGAATTACTGAAAAGGTAATTTAAAGTGTAAACATTATTCCCTTGTTAGCAATAGCGCAACCATGTCAAATTCCAGTACAGCTTTAATTTACGAGGGCTCTGAATTGATTGCTTTAAAAGCCCGTTTACACTTGCGATTTTTGCAGAGCGCCCTTTTGCGTCGCGCGAACATCGCYTGAGTTTCGAACATGCTTGAAAATTGGCTGCAACTTCGCGGCGATTTTTCAGCGTAGCAACAGTTGCGCGATAGCAAAGTGGCGATTATCGCGCTTCAAAAATCGCAAGTGTAAACGAACCTGAGCCATATGACTCACTCCGCTCTAAAGACTTGAAAAAAGTTCTAATTTACTTATTTTGTGGGTCTTTTTCATAGATTGACCATGAAATTTGCCGTTGCAACAGTCTTCGTTTTTGCTGCTCTAATTGCCGAKATCGCTGCACAACATTTTAACCATGATAATCCCATCGTAATGAGAATAAAAAGAGAATGCAGATCAACGTGGAACTGTGGGAAAAGATTGACGCAATATCTTGTTGACAAGGCGAACGAAGAGCGCGAATCGCCAGAAGACGAGGATGCTCCTCTAATAATGAGAATCAAAAAACGCTGCAGATCGACGTGGAACTGTGGAAAGAAACTAACCCGTGTCCTCGAAGACGACGCTGCATTGGCTGAGGTTGATGACGATAATGGCCCTGTTACTCTCCGAATTAAAAAGAGATGTAGATCCACCTGGAACTGCGGTAAAAGGCTGACAAAGTTCCTCGAAGATGAAGCCACCGAGGAGCGCCGTTTGGCCGAAGTTAATGATGACAGTGGCCCTATTAATCTCAGAATCAAGAAAAGGTGCAGATCGACTTGGAATTGCGGCAAAAAGCTGAGAGAGTTTCTTGAAAAAGAAATCTAGTTCGTGTCTACTATTATTATGTAATATGAATTCTTTTTCTTTTTTTAGCAAGAATGATGTTTTCGTAAATAATTGTGAGTACATATACCATACCAATAAAAACCTTTTAAATGTTGCAAAATAGAGGCTCGTTTCTTGCTCGCTGCATGTATGAGTCCACCAAACTCGGGAATAAAATTCCATACCATTGTACTCTTCAAATTACTTAACTTATATAATGGTCCTGTTACTCTCCGAATTAAAAAGAAAAATAGATGGAAAATAGATGCTCGTTTCTTGCTCGTTTGCTTTATTATGAGCCAGCCAACCAACCCGGCCCGGGCCAACCAACCAAACGTACTAGTTATTTTTCATGTACGAGAATTTAATTTTTCCCAAAAATGGTCGGGGGAGGAGGGGGAGGGGGGGTTAATACCGAGACTTTGATCGCGGATTTATGAAGGAGAGTATGATAACTTTATATATTTAGAAGAGAAGCTATATATTCTGGACTGATAGGACGCTTGTTCAGTGGAGCAAAGACAAACAACCTTTTGTGATTTTTTGTACGTCGCTTTCGTATTGATATTTTTGGCTGAATGAACATCTTCAAGCTGCACATATGCTCGCTCTGCCGGCCAAACCCATTGTTTATGCACAGGGAGCACAGACTCTTTATCAGTGGTTCTTATGTACACCACCCCTCCCCTCCCCTCTATATTTACCGTTATTTTGAAGAGTTTATATGGTGTTATTGAATCGAGAATTTCTCGCTTGAATTTTAATAAATCGAAACAAAACTTAAACATGTTGTTATTGATGTATTGTGCAATCCTCTGACGAAGTTTCAGCCGATTTCCTTGAGTTTAAGTGCCTTTCTCCCCACCAAGCAAAGACGAATTTAATTACCACTGATAAAGAGCCTGTGCTCCCTGTGGTTTATGGAGACGTTGATAATCACGTTGAATGTAGAGCCTGGGCTTCCTGTGTTAACTATAATTTCATCTCTTTGATGTCACGTAACTATTGTCGAAACCCCCAAAATCCCACCATTAAAAGAGGGATTTCACAGATTTTATCCTTGTCACGCTCTCAACGAAATATGTTTACTTTCCCATCCCACCCGTTGTGATTCAAAATTAATGTTATAGTCAATGAATGTCCTTGYGTGAAGCAGTCTAATAATGAAATTCAATTACCTATAAATTCCTTTGCCATTTCGCTTGCCAAACTCGTAGCTTCCTTCGTAAGTATCTTGATTTGGTAGTCTCGCTCTGCCACGTCCATGTCTCTCCTCGCTCTCGTTTCGTTCGCCTTCATATTCTCCAAGATATGGCAGACCGTCTCCTTCAGTACTTTCTTCATCTGAAGATGACATATTTGACAGCTTTTATACTCGAAAACAAAGGATTTGGACTGGTATAAGTTGGGTCGACGTGAAAACGTTAATGACGCCCGTTTATGTTGGTTGGTTTCTGTGGAAACGCTGTAAAACGATACCTTCACGAAGCGGAAATGACACTACGGGGAACATATTTTATTGAACTCTGCATGGTGAAGATGGTTTTGAAGTAAGAAAGTAAACAAACAAAAAGATTATTAAAACAATAAACTAAAGAAATACCATCTTAGCAAGCAAATACAGTGCCAGAGGAAACCGCGAAACAAAAAATTTTAATTTTTAAAACCTAAACTCCACTAAACTCTTAACCAGACAAACAAATAACAAAAGCTCATCTGACAATTAATGATCCCCTCCTGTTCTATTGTATTGTAGTGGAGTAATATAACGTACACACTTATTCCAAGCTGCGTGCAATGGACCGTGTGTGGTTTGGCTTCCTGGGCCCTCCAACGCGGGCTTCCTGTGGCTAAAGGAAGCCCGTCAAAAACAGACCTTTAGAGATTTGTTGGTAATTTGCAATTTGCAGATAATAATACGGATACTAAGTGACTACACGATGTTCGATGATGTGTAAAATCGGCATCCTCGAAAGACAGGTGCTGTTGAGTGGGGACTGGGGGAGTCTCTGGGCTTCCGAAGATGGTAATAAACTTGATATGGCGTGCATGTGGGTGGTGTGAGCTTTTGAATTGAGATCACTGCACTGACATGATTACAATCCAATGACGATATCCTGCATGGCGAGACTTTAATCCTTGTCTAAAAATTTACTCTTTAGACCTCTTTAGACGGCGAATGTCACAAGTGCCGAAGTCAAAATGAAGCAACTGAGATCATGATGAGAAGAAAATTAAAAAAAAGACTGGAGTAGTATCGTTGGTTTGGGCATTCCTGCTGGTTTACTGCGGAAACGACTCTATAAAAAACAAGTAAATCATCAGGAGGAGCCGACGGGGTCTGTTCTTTTAAATAACTGTTCTTAATAGGACAATGTTTTCCTGTGTGAAAGGGATTTTGAGTTACATTGTTGACAATCTCACAAGCAAGTGACATCCTTCCTTCTTTAAAATGATTTTGTTCCTGGAAAACGTTCAGGTCAAAAAAGGCTTATATAAGTGAACGTTACATTGTGGTCAAAAACGGCTCATAGTTTTTAGTTAGGAAATTGTTATTTTCCTGGCAAAAATTCTTAGAATTATTCCCTTGACTTTAAAGGTCTTTTTTTCCTGAATTTCTCGCTGGCAACCAGTTGTGACTTACAGCTGGCTGGGAYATAAGAACAGATAAACTTCTCCCAGGAACCCGTCGGCTCCTCCTAAATATCATTGTATTTTCTTTTGCATGTATTCAAAAGAAAAATGTAGTAAAAATGAAGCACCTGGGGGAAGGTGGGGGAACTGTTTGTACGTAGGGTGGATAAAGTGGGGTGGGGGAGGAGGACGGGAGAAGTTCGTTGTGTTCCAAAAGTATTCTTAATAAAATGTCTCAAAAAGGCGTTTCTTTTGACACCCGAAATCCATGGCTATGGGCCAGGTTATTTATCGGACAAAGTCCACTGGATAGATTTCGCTAGTGGATTTATCTTCTGTCATGGACAAGTGCGATTCATGGGCACTTCCTAAAATCGACCCCTGGTCAGTTGTTTCGAAAAACAATCTCTGTGTTTGTTTAACTACACTCAAGAATATTTATATACACTAAAAATATTGTCAATTKACTCAAAGTGTACAGTTTTGGCTAAAATGATGGCTCCTCCCAATTCTGCTCTCTGCGTGGTTTCCGAGGGATTTGCTAATCTGTGGTCAGTTCAACCCTAAAATCAGATTGAGACGATTGTCCGAAGATACTGGCATTATTTCAATCGGCCTTTATATAAACTTTATTGAGTCTAGAAAGACAGTCATTATCAGTATAACCAGTATTCTATATTGATAACGATGTGGTTAGGTTCTCGCTGATCGTAGCTTGTAGATATAGACAGCTAACCACGCCTAACGGAATCTTGGCTAAACCTTTCACATTGTCGCATGTCAACAGACACGCCAAGTGAGCACTTTGTTGATTCTGGCTGATTTTGTGGTTTTCCGGCCTTGAGATCTAGCACTATTTCTTATGTTTGTGATGAACCAGTAAACACGTTGGAATTCCTCTCGCGGATGTGATACAGAATCCTGAAAAGGTAAATGGAAACTAGACTGATTCCGTCGTAGTATTCGCTCCCTCGATTTTTCGGTTGTGAGCGACAAAAAATCATATCGACAAAGAGGGAATTGGTTTTTGCTGAATACGACTTTTATTCAACGTTTAAAAGCTTGAAAACCCAAGCAAAGCTTATAGACTTATACAAGATTAATGAATCACCAAAATATCGGCAAGCTTTGACGACATCTTATACAAAAATCGATAAGGGAATTTGGCGTTTTTTTTTAATTTATTTTTCCTTTTTGTTAAGTTTCACGTCTAATTACATCCTCGTTCACAGGCCCTTAATTCCGCCTGACCCCAAACGGAGGAATGAGAGCCTGGGCCGGAGAGGTTGGCTGCTATAAGTGTATTTTAATAGGCCTGTGTCAAATCTAGTCTTAACATGGGCTTTATTCAATTTTTTCATGTAATAAAATAAACTCACAATATAAATTTTCATGTAAAAACGAATAACGAGGCTATCCCTGAAATATGAAGATGCTTGTCTATAAGTATTCATACAATGGTGTTTTTTTTCCTGGCATGCTGAGCTAGATTATATATTTTACGACTGAACCGGTCCCAGTTCGCTCGATCTCTGTCAGAGTTTTCACGATAAACCGAAAAACCGAGGAGCGAAAACTACGACTTATGGAATCAGTCCAGATTACTGATATTTGGGAGTATGGAGTTTTTTTTCAGTGCCACACTTTTAAGCCATTTTAAACCATTTTATTTCTCGACTTTTGGTGCGCACATGATTGACTTAGTGTTGGGAGATGAACTGAAGACAGAATAATTATTTTTTGTAAAAAATTGAGACTCTTTGACTGTTTTTATTTTCGGTTTTAATGGAGCGGACGTGTYCAGACAAATACTGACCAGAAAATTCAGGATCAGATTTTAAAAAGGGTGTGAACAACTGGTCTTTGAATTAACCCTCTGTCTACAAAAATAAATCAATTAGGCAATTAACATTGGTGATAGGAATTYATTTATGCCGAGATATCGGCAATAGGCAATTAATATAGATAACTCAAATAAAAGGTACTACTGTAAGTTAGGCCAAAAATCTATATATAATTCAACTGTAGAGAATAAAAGTCAACAGCYTGTGGTCACGTTATTCGCCCTCTTAGACGCGCAGTAATTAGCAGGCGGTAAGTCCATCTATTGCGTTTTTTTTCTTCGTTTCAATCAGACGTTGGCTATTTAAGTCACAGGGTTAATCCGCGCTCTAAATATATCACATATTGAACTGAAAAGGCAATGGCAGAAATTTAAACGCGAGTTTTAGCGTAATTAGGAATCGGAACGTTCAAATTCTACCACCACTTGGAGAAGTCATTTAGTAATTGTAATCATTTCTTTTTGTTTGTTTGTTTCTGCTATTAAAATTATCCTTTCATTTGTATTCAAATTCGGTACATATCAAATTCGACGTCACTGACAATGATCTGCCGTAAGACATCCAGGAATACATCATGGTACTTATCCACACGGCGTTCATGAACGCATAGAAAGCCCTCTCGTGTACAACTTAAAGGGACAAGAACTGGACAAGATCATTTTAAAGACTTACACTTAAACTGAAAAAAAAWTTTTAAAGGCGAGCATGAAGATTCGAACCCAACGCTATATACATTGCCTAAATATACTCCATGTAAATGAAGCCCTTTGACCAGTATATGTATATCCATATATGGGCGTCCAATTTTCCCTCAAGTTATGATCTTTTTACGTGCTTKTCMAGTAGTWTTSCGGGATTTTTGTGACTACACAGATTCAGTTTATTCAAATGCCAGAAAGGTCTTCGAATTTTCCAGATTCTACGACCTATAGTCTGAATCMTCTAGATTTTTCTCATGGCTATGCAATAAACATCTAGAGCCTTCCAATTCCGAATACCTCTTTATCCGATGCGATAACTCTTTTCGATAAACTTTTAATTGATTTTTACTGTGAGCATTCTAGCTTGTTTTGATGGACTTTTTTAGACTCGCGCTCCGGGCTTGAGCTYAGCGATGAAAGGTCACCTCTCGGTTGATTGGGAAGTGGGCGTCCGTCTGGATGTCATGCACGCCTTAGTGCACGCCTTTTTCTATTGCACGCAAAGCATTAGTGCTACAATGCATGACTTGAAGTTTTGTATTCTTGTATTGATTCACAACTATTTCAAAAAGTCCTCAAATACTTTAAACTGGCTGTCATCGTCTACAGAGACCCGTGATGGCCTGTCAGAAACACGTTTAAGCCACAGGCCTGTGTACTGGTTGTGTCACAATTGAGAGCTATAAAACCTGCTGCAAATTCAGACATTATTCACGTAAACACATTATAATACTTAAGGGCGAAAGAAATGAGAGCTGTCAACGGACAAAGCGCTGGAAACAATTCACTTTGACCTGAGTCAAATCTTTGTGTGAGCCGACGTCCGAATAACAGATTTAGTGTTGCACGGACATTATAATTTAAAAAATATCTATGCCACCGAGCCGAATATAAATATGGACGTGATCTGTCATTATGATTTGCTCTGTGCTTCACGGTACCTTATTATTTAACATATTTTTGAACGGAAGTTAATAAGATTTAATACTGCATTAGATCGCCCTGTGTTGCGGGTGAATCCGTTTCACTGTAAACAGCCTTTTTAGAAAAGGCACGTACTTTGAATATGTCGTCACGATAGTTAAAAAACGATTATATACAATAAGAGAGGTCGTCGTCTTTGGAGTGCTAGAATTGATAAAGCATTTCTCCTCCCTTTGGCATATAGGCATTATTCATGTGTGTTCAGCGGGTGTCCCTGGGTGTACCGCGTTTCACCGTCGTTTGTTAGCCCATGCAGCAGACAGAGTGTTGTCTAAAAGTCACTGCCAGCGGCAAATKTTTGACGTTTTTCATTTCCTTTGGAGACCCTCTTGCCTTGGAGCAAGAATTCCCCAATTCATGAAAGGTCGGGGACTCATATTCATAAATGATCGGGAAAAATGATCAATAGTCGAGCCAGGCTAAGAGTGTAATCAAATATTTAAACTTTTTTTACTTCCGTTCTTTGTCTTTAATTCATATCAAGTGCGTTTGATGTAGTATCTGTACTGAGTAAAGTAGAGAAATCGAGATTCGAGATGCGTTTTTAATCGGTCACGCTTGTTGCTGAAGTTTCAACGCCGAACATCACGCCCATCGAACCATTCACTAACCGGAGAATCAGCTCTTGAATTTACGCCTTTAATTACTTACAATCTTTTCGCAAAAAACATGAGTTGATTGGAACCCTTCTAGATTTTCTCTCAAGGTACAGAGAAAAGAGACGCCACACCAAACGTTTGCTATCTCTACATATTAAAATGTTTTGCTTTCATTTGATATGCGAGCTAAACTGATCTGAAGTGGCAGCCGAGATACTTTTGTGAGCACTTCAGTTCGTTAACTGATGACATTATGAGATTAGATAAAAAGCTCCGTTTGTGTTTGTGCACGATTTAATAGAGATCCATACAGCTTTTATAGAAAGCGTTGAATATTGAATACAATCCTATCCAATACGCCGTAATACGCAAGTGAATTCCAAGACCGAAATGCATTGTTGGTTACCTGTTCTATCGCCGCTCAGAACCAGTTTTAACATTATTGTAAGTCATGTTAAAATTCACACAACATACTCGCTCTCGCCCTAGTCGCGCATTGGTGGTCAAAATGTCAGAAAGTAGTTTTATAATCTTTCAACTCCTCGAGAACTAAGTCGAGACTGACGATTTCAAACTAAAGCACCTCATTTGATTGTGACTCACTCCCTAAGAATGTGTCGATGTCATTTCACTGACGGAGGTCATCGGCCTTACACGCTTGTAGGGCATCAGTCCCGCACAGATACATTATTCAAAACTGCCCCTGGATAAGAAAGTTTAATTTTTAAGGGACTTTTTGGGGTGCAATCTGTTCAAATTTTGGAATTCATACGAATAGAAATATAATGTGAAAATCTCAAAGTCTCTTCTCGGAACGCAACGTTCATCGGCTGGGGGTTGCGTTTGGAGTTGACAGGAATRAATTCAGACTATTTCGTAACCCCTCATATCACCATCTTTACCTGATCTTTGGACTCAAATGTTTCTCGTTATAAATGTCAACGATTGATCTAGATATGGCGGGGCGAAAAGATCGTCCGCGTCGGGCCCCATCCTGATACAAACGCTAACCTTTTCGTAACAAAATTTTATCGAAATGGAGGAGGAGGAAACGGAGGAGTCGACGGGTTCCTCGGAGAATATATCTGTTCTTTTATGTCCCATCCAGCTCAAGTCACAACTGCTTGCCAGCGAGAAACAGGAAAACTCTCCAGGCAAGGAATACTTTCTAATAATTTTTGCCGGGAAAATAAAAATTTCTTAACATAAAAAAATAGTCAAAATAGGCCGTTTTTGACCTGGGAACAAAATTATTTTAAGAAGGAAGGGCGCCACATTTGCTTGTGAGATCAAAATTGTAGCTCAAAATCCATTAGTCCTAGGAAAAAAATTCGTACAATAACAGTTATTTAGAAGAACAGACCCCGTTAAAKCTCCTCCTGGTGAAACAGGGAGGATTTACAAGCGTGACCGTGATGCCGTGGGGACTTTGATTTTCACGATTCGGCTTTGCGCCGTTTGATTCACGCAAACGAGCTACGACAGAAACTGTATCTTCGGTCGAGGTTCTTTACGGAACGTTACAGGGGTTCCCTTTTTAAATTTCGGCTTCTTTCTGGGAACTTAGTGAACTTTAGATTTAATAAGGAGGTACGGGGACTGATGGAATACGAAGTTTGTAAAACGATTGGCCTTGCGTGTGCATTTTAAAGCGGATTACATTCCAGTAACTATCTTGAAAGAAATAATAAAATAGCTAAAACGCAGAATATATAAGCAACAGAATAAAAGTCAATTTTGAAAAACTGTGTTCTTGTTCACAGTCTTAACTCTATTTGCCATAGTCTGCAATATGGGACAMAATTACAGCTCCACGCCTCTTTTCAAACGTCATATCTTGCATGTGCTGAGATGCCTGATTAGAAGCGAGACTGACTGGTGTGTTTTTTTTTTGCTGCAATTGCACGCATCAATGCACGCATCAATAACGTGACGACTTATTTCAGCTGGAATGTTCTCAGCATGGAATGTTCTCTAGAATTAAGCGAAAACACCGATGAAGGTCTATGTTTGCAGACCGAAAAGACTGATTCGCGTCTAAGTCAAGGCAAAGTATTTCATCTCCAAAGTTAAAAAACAAAATTGGAGAAAGGGAGAATTGAAAGTTCTCAGTTGACTGGGTCTTTGTCGAAATGTTGAGAGCCTTGCGGACAATTTTTTTCAAAGTCATGACCTCCAGTGTCGGCCAAAGACTTGTTCTGTCTGCCTTATTATTTTTTTATGGCGGAAGATAAATGGCTATAAGTACATTAAAGGTCAACAACAAGTACTTACCAATGACGTAATATAGATCATATAACTACTGTCTMGTATCTACCAAAACTCTTGAAATTTCCTGAAATTGTAGGAATATAGGAAATGCAGAGGGCACAGTCAGCTCAATTTCAGGGCAAGTCAAGAATATCCCCCCGCGGTCAGGAGACTGGGTCTTACTATACCAAACACGTGTGACACTGTCACTGTTTGCTAGACGAAGAAAGTGTCAAAGAGATGGCGGTTGAGCTCTTCTCGTAGCGTTTTTACCACGCACTTTAAGCGATTTTCATGGAACAAACAAGGCCAAGTCCATTGCTAGATCTATGTCTAAACGCTGTGTGGAAAAATGGACAAGTACTGAGCCCTCAGAGACTTTGTGGTGAGAATCTTGCTCTGATGTGACTTGACACTTGAAATTTTTGCCGTATTTGAAACGATTCCAACTATTTTATTTCCTGTTTCAGTTACACCGAGGCATCTTTTGATGCAGATATTGCAGAGTTTAAATCCATTTGACTTGGAGAGGTTAGAAGATGAAAATATTCGCGCCGTAACCGGTAAGCTGTGAGTTAGTTTTCGAGCGTGAGTTGTCGTGTGAGTGAATTGTTTATCGCAGTTTGCTCAAGTTGAATTGGCGCCAGRCTGCTCTTTTTTGTCTTTTAATCCTTCTAATCATTTGATTTCCTGCAATCGTATCGAGAATTATTCTTGCACGCAATTATTCTTATAGAGATTGCGCTTCGAGAGCCTTGGAATGCTATGCAACTGATCTTGGCTGTCATGCTCAAATGCAGTGTCATCTGCTTGGCATCACGAGGGGAAATACTGATGCCCTTTTAATGGCCTTAACTATATTTTTGTTTTTATACATACTCTATTGCCTACTCGGTAATGGTTTCGGGAATCCATCAACGAGGAGTATTCATAAATTACTGAGTAATATTTATTTTTCAAACAACTCAAAGATATTTTCTCACTTTTTCGACGTGCTTCGAGACGCCATGGGGCGCACTCCTCTTTCGCAGTGATACCATATCAAAAATCATATCACCGCCGTGTTTAATGCGAAATTAAAGTTTTTGTTTGTCCGGTATTGGATTATTAAGTTATTAGAATAATTTTGGTGTCTCTGAAAAGACTTAAGAAAGCTGGTCAGATCATTTGATTTCAGTAAACTATTTTCTCCCATAAGATCTGATATGCGATGAAAAATTTTTTTGTCTGGTTTTCAAGTGGCAATTCTTCCCAGGAGGTCCRAGCTYCGTTTTCACAAACAAACTCATCTCAAACTATAAAACCCCTAAAATACATGTCAATAAAATAAAATTAAAATKAAATTAACTTGTAGATGTATTGCTCAAGATCTTGATTATCAAAATCAAATTTATGTTCCAACAGCAAAATTAATGGTCATTAATGGAATATTCTATCATCGGATTACAAATTCCCATATGGTCAAACCATTGAAAGAAAAATACATATATCATTTCACTTGAAATGCTATTCTAGAAGTTTCTAAATAGAAAAGGAAACTTTCTTTGAAAGTGCTTTTTAAAGGACATTGTAAACATGTATTAAGTATAGTCTTAGTTGCATGAAGTCTTTGGGTCATTCACATTCAAAATATGCAAGAATTCAAGTCATGAATACAATTTGAAGCCTTTTTTCAAATGTATAAAATTTAATTTTGTGATTTGAATGGTGTGGGTGGGCTCCCTGTGTGATCAACTCTGRACACCTATCATTGTGTGTGCCAAAATGCATGCACATCTCATCAAAAATAGTGATTGGGATCTAAGTGCAAACACTTAAACCATGAAARAGTTCACTAATTAAATAGTGATAAATCCTTTTATTTCACTTGTGAAAATAACAAATAACACATTTGAGGTTTCTCTATACTCTCGAAACTTGTAAGAAAAAACTTTATGACATAATTTGCTTTCATATGCAATATTTATATGATAAACAGAATATTACGTGGTTGCTTSGAGATACGAATTTTATCTTCTCTTGTTGAAAATCTCTCACTCCTTTGCTGGGCTCACTTGTGAGAGATCTTTTCAACACTTGAAGATAAAATCCATATCTCCGCAAGCCCATGTTATATCTTCTCTTTAAAATATGTGTGAATTTGTTTTTGTTTAATCCACATTATTTAGTTATATTGAGTAATATTTTTGTACTTTTTTTTTCATGCTTTTTGTATTTGAACTCTACAGAGATGTCAAAAAATCCGTAAAATAGATATTACAGTACACTAATACAGCATAGTACGCTTTAATATTATTGTTTTCTTTTACATTTGTAATCCGTGATGTATTTGAATGTCACACTTCAATAACAAAATTTTGTTTCAAGGGTGTTGTGACCTCACTTTATCAGCACTCTGCTGTAGTTATAAAGAATCGCTATCTGACATTTGGTTTTAATTATGTAATTTACCTGAAACTGTGCATCTTAATTTTCATGAATTACGTTGAATGATGAAATTCAATGTGTGTAAATGTATGACAATAAATTTGTCAATCTTGGCATTCATGACCTCTTTAAGTGCAATATTATATATATGTCTAGATATTGTACATGTAGCCAACTGATGGATATCTTAAATGATACAATAACCAGAAAACTAAGCAATACTTGAACTAATTACTAAACAGATTATAATAGGGAGGCATTAGGGGATTGCTGGATTTATCATTACAATATTAATTTTATCTGGTAAGCACATGCATTCTAAACTAATCAACTTTTAATTTTTTATTCATTCGTCTATCTATATTTGTATTTGTTATAATTTATTTTATACATTGGGATATAGTACAGTTTTACAAGCAACAAAGATAATTTAGAATTTTATTAATTTATTGGCATTTTTAATAGTGCATTTAGTGCAAACAAATTGTCTGTGAAACATTTTGTACTATTTGGTGAAAAATAGTACAAACTATTAAATATTTTATGCTATTTTTTTACCAATTCTTTTGTTTTCTTTTGTTCCACCAATTTAAGTGTCTTCACAGTAACTGTTATGTTGTATGAAGGAGAGAAATGTTCATAGTGGAACTATTATGAATATTTTAAAAGTTAAACATAATTTGAATTTTAACTTGAACAAGAAATTTACTTTCTAGAACTAAAAGCTTGAAAAAATACTAATATCCAAATAATATATAGAGTGCTAAATAGGGTGGATTAAACCACGGGCTTTAGGAGACTCCTTGTTTTGAGTCGTGAGAAATTCTTGTTCATGGAAAAAAGATGGAAAGAAATTTATGGACTCAGTAGACCATAAATTCATGTTTATTCATCACAAGCTTATTTGACTAGCAATTAAAGACTCAAGTAAGTAAATAGGGTGTTCTTTTTTCCATGAACAAGAATTTCTCACGACTCAAAACAAGGAGTCWMCTAAAGCCCGTGATTAAACAACGAAATATGGAGGAATTCACAGAACTAAAAATTAATGGTATTTAGCACTATTTAATTTATCAGTAAATTGTTTAATGGTTTCAGTGACCTATCTTTTTCACTGTAGTTTGTTGATATTATTTGTTTTTCCTCTGTAAATTAGAACATTTAACAAGTGGTTATTCTTTAGCACTTTCAGATGGTAAGCTTGAAAGATCTGGTCGTAATTATAGGTGACCTTTGCCATTATCAGATAGCCTTTGGTGATGTTACTTAGGAAATATTTTCATCAAGGCTTAGGGTTTTCAAATCAAAACAACAAACAGGTTATATTTAGACATTCCCAAGTGGTTTTCTTTAACTTGTAAAATAAAGTGTAATCTAATAGCTAAGTGTATTATTTTAAGTGTGGTACACAAGAATTTTTTACAAGAATTTTTCATTGGTCCTTCGTTTTTAAAATGGAATAGCCAGGTCCTAATAATCTTTGTTTACTATCTCTATTTTGCAAATAATATATATGAATGAGACTTCCAATTATACTCTGTCTTATGTCCTATTCTAGATCTCTATATTTCTATTAAGTCTCTCATGCCTGAGTCAAACGTCTTTTTGAAGATGACCGGCCAAAATGAAGTTTGACCGGAAGGTTGCAAATTTTGGCCGGTCATCGTCYGTTGATCAGCCCTTATTTTGAGCCCTGTCTTATCATATTGATTTTTGTGCAATCTTTTTTCAATTAGTGGTATCTCCTAATAATTCTAAGTTGCACATGTATGGAATGATCTATTTTTATAACAAAGATAAAAAGCAAACAAATAAATAGTTTTTAAGTCTTCCTGACGCCACTGCCATATTCTACATTCTTCTTTTAACTTTGTTTGTATTAAGTATTYAGGTTATTTGAGACATGAGTATTTCTTACGTACAGTGTAACTTGAACACTATTACGATGTACATTGCAAATCAGTGTTTTGTGCAGTCAAACTGATGCTGAAAACTTTTTTTAATAAAACTATTCATTTCTTAATCAAATAATCAAATCAAGATTCTAAAATGAATGAGATATAATCTGATAATTCTGCATTCTTGTGTAATGATTTTACTATACTTATATAGATAAAATTTTGTGTTTTGAACTGTCACAGTGAGCTTTAAGAATTGATTGTRTGATTGGTTATTACATCTAATTCCAAAAATCTCTGCTATAAATATAAATAGAAAGTTCAGAAAATCACTTTCGTGCACCTTTCAATCAAGACATGCATTATTACTTGACTTTTGTACATGTTTACAAAAAATAGTAGACATTAGGGTCCAATAAAGTGCATTGTTGGTTTGATATAACAGTTGACYTTTCTTTAGTTATCAAGTTMTGTATGGGTTTACAGACAATATCAGTGCATTCRCTATCACTGTACATCTACATGTAGGTCTTGTGACTAGGGTTCATGCTACYCCTTGATATCCTCAGAGTTAAAAACACTTAAATTGTACTTGGCTTAAGTCCTTGGGAAAAGGATTATAATCAACACTGCTAACACTAATGGAATACTCCAGGTTCGAATTCAAAGCGAATAACCGCTGTTTTATTTGACAGCAAAGAAAGCACGAGAAAATGTTGCTTGTACAATAGCGCTAGACAATTTACATTTTTCCCGAGTTGAGGTTAACCCTGTATTCCCAGAAGGCTTATATCTTAGGTCTCATGGGAATACAGGGTTATTCTCAACTCGGGGAAAATGCAAATTTTCAAGTCTATTGTAATAACGACATTCTCTCGTGCTCTCTTTTGTGTTTGGTAAGTTCTTTGCGCAAGAGAATCTGTTGTCAAATAAAGCAGCGGTTTTGCGCTATGAATTTGAAACTGGAGTATTTTTTCATTGAATCTGATATCAACTTCTTTATACTTTTCTATTAAAATATTGGATAAAGATTAAAGATTAAAGTTGAAAAGCACTCTTAAATTTTATTCTTTAAGACTTTCCATGTGCTCGTTGGGCAGTTTTGAATTTGCTGAACTTTGTAAGTCTTTCAAGATGAAGGGTGATTCAAAATTTGAGCTGAAAAAGAGTGCAATGTCAGGGTTCCATGAAGAGAAGCCCAAAATACACCACCTTTTAGCATCCTCTCCACTTGGAATGATTGATCCTTTTATAGATAAAAAATGCATTATCTATTATTATTGATATTGAGGTCTAATGTCAAGGATTAGATAAAAAAAATCAAGCTTTAAGTATGGGTGTCTGCTTAAGCCATTTGTGTTAAATGGAGAGAGTTTTACATGATTTCAGGGTCAATAGGCCCTTTGCAGCTGAGGGTCACGTGACCACACCTACCTTAAATCAATCAGCTATCAAAAAATGATGTCCAGAAATGGAAAGAGGGGATCAAAATAAGTAAGAAGACATAGTCTCAAGTCTCAGCACTAAATATTTCAAAATTGATAGCAAATGTAAAATCATTGTTTTTCCAAAGAAACATTTTCAAAAACAGTCCTGGAGACCAAGGCTTGCTCTCCAGCTCTATTTTCCCACACGTTTCTTTAGAAAAATCAATGTTTTACATTTTGTTGTCATTTTTGAAGTACAGTATTTTAGAGTTGAGACTTGAGATTTGCCATTTTACCAACATAAACTGCTCTTTCCATTTCTGTACATCATTTTTTGATAGCTGATTGATTTAAGGTAGGTGTGGTCATGTGACCCGCAGCTGCAAAGGTCCTATAGCAAAGAAAGAAAGCTATAATTTTCATCATAGTTATAAAATGTTTTTAGTGGTACTGTGAGGACTGTAAGTTTTTTGGCTTTCTTTATTCCTTGAGTCCTCACGCAATTACATTAGTAATTAAAGAATCCAATACAAACTTTCCCAAACAAAAATTCTATATTCTAAATGAACATCTATCCACAGCTTTCTATACCCACGTTCACTAACCATGAATAAGAACTGAACTTACATATTGTCGTTGAAAAATGCGGAAATATCTTCTAGTTGGAGAATAACGCACTTCATGATCAGTGAATAGTCAACTTTAAATATTTTGGTACTGTACAAATGAATTGCAAATGAGGATCTTGGGAAACAATGGACAATCACGTATCTTTATTCTTTTATTTCTCGCTGAAGCCTCATCTACTGTTCTTTTGAATGGTCATCGAACCAAAATGACTTATCATCTACTGACACCTTGGTTCTTTGGTTCAATTGTAAATAAAATAAGTATGAAATATGATGTTTTTTCCATTTCAACAAATTTTGTTTTGGTTTCTTAGAGCTTTTAATAACCGTTATACTAAACTGTCACTGTTTCAGACATGATGTCATGTGAAAAGTTTTTTTTCTAGAAAATGATAAAGAATAAAATATGATACAAGTTTCCGTAATGACCATTTCTTAAAATACTGAGTTTTTTTTAAAACTGTACAGGGTTGATGATGTCCACTGACATGTATATTCCTGTTGTCTCAAAGGCTGAATCTCTTTCGTCACTATCTAAGAAGGCGTACTCTAATCTTATTATTGAAGATATGCGTTCGGATAATGGTCTCTGTCTGTAGGTGGTTTTCACCAGACTGTAAAATAGCTAAAAAAAATCATTTCATAAGCTGATTATAAGGCTTGCTTTATTAACTGTCTGATACTGTAGATYAAAACTTCATAAAAAAAACTTGATGAATTGTTTCACAATCTGAGGAAAACTGTTCTACTTGTAGATCTTTCCTATGGATATAAACAACTTATTGAATTAAGTGAAAATTAATACTTCATTTCCTGCGGGAGGTTATTGATAATTGAATCAACTTGGACTAGCTTTCAACACTCTTTTTAAGTCAAGTCAAGAAAATGCACAACATGTATTTATATTATAATTAATTATATTATAGATAACTTCAGTTGAAAAATATTTATTAATTAAAACAAATTTTCTCTTTAATATTGAATTTTTTTTTTCAAAAGATACAATATGTATCTATATTCTTAAGAAACTATGAACTAAATGACTAAATATTAAACTTTGATGATTTCATGAAACAGAGATGCAAATCAAGATGTATATATTTTTGATATACTGGTACATGATTGACAGTATAATARATAGAGCTGTTTTCAACATGAATGAAGATGTTATGAACAATATTGATGAATGAACATCAGTATTTTTATTTGGTGGATCACCAAATTGAATCTGCAGGCAACCTTCACTGAACCAACATCTCACGAATCATTAATGAGTTTTACAATATATATATATAATATATAATATAATTGTATGAAGAAGTAGCTGATCCCATTAAAGAGTACTCAATACACATAAAGTGTAGAGCTAGTTATATATATGATCTGATGAGTGCGTAGCACGAAACTCGGAGTTACAGCAAAATCTTGCCTCTTTGATATCATATATATAATATATAATATAATAAATCATTAGTTTGCTTTTTTTAGGTATTGATACAGATAGCCTTTGGCAGTTACATTACTGCCAGCAGTGGAGACACAAGGGAAGGTGGCCTGAGTCCTATTATCAAGTTGCTAAGTCAAATAGCAGACTGCCTGAAAAAATCCCATGGAGGTTGTTGTATTGGCAGAGACACTTCCAGGAGGTKGTCAACAGCACCGAAGCCAAAACTGGTAGGTGAATACATGTATGTCCATTTGAATGAGAGTTACCAATGGACAAATAAGTCCCACTAAATTAAGCTATATTATGCTTTTAAATTTTATTGTTTTATTTTCTAGTATGTGGTAATGTATACTTATTGCTGTGCTGATGCAATTAAAATACTGTGGAACTTTTTATTCTATTATTATTGATCTTGAAACAATCATTCGACAAGATATCATTTTGAAACAATTGCAATAGCCCCTTTCATGGTTAGGCAACAAGTTGCACAAGGAGTCCAAAGCRAGGCAAAATCAGGCAACAACCCAATTTAAAGTGACATCTTTGAGCTTGTTTATCATTTTGCAATGTCAGCATAATTATTTTTTGATKGTGAAAATGTCATAACTTCAATATTCCTTGGCACTTTAGTTCGTTTAATATATTCGACTTTGTAAAACAGTGTTATTTTGGTTTAAATTGTTCTCGCAATAGCCTGGGTATYGTCATTTTGGCAGTGAATTGAAAACGGCAATCAAAGCCCTGATTTAAACCAATCAGAATGCGCTGATTCTGGCAGCTGCAAGTACACAATTTAGTGGCTCGTTATAGCAGGCTCGATCCCCCTACCCTTCTATTCCCCCCTTTCCCCCCTCCCCCAGAGCTGCTACGCAGGATAGGTCTGCAGCAAACATGTTATTTATAAGATTTTTAGAAATATATATATGTAATTATTGTAATTTTTATAATGTTAGAGGGCCACGAGTTCAGTGTTTTTTTAATACTGTCAAGTGTTACCCTCTTTAAATAACGTTCATTGTATTGTATTGTATTGTATTGTATTGTATTGTATTGTATTGTATTGTATTGTATTGACTGTGAAAAGGTCTATTGTTCTCAGATGAAAGTGGGTCATTAATGTCTTATGAAAACCAGCATTTGAATAATAATTTGAGTAATATAAGAATTCATTGATTGTTTTTAGCTGTTGTGCACTGGCATCCAGAGAGCAGATCCTTACCACAGAATTCTAAAGATGGCACCCGAGCCAAAGCAAGTGAACTGTTCCTTCAGCAGTCAGCTGGTCGATTTGGCAAGTATGCCATTTATTTAAGACTACACAACTCTGCTTTGAACTACCTCGCCACACATCTAGATATCTTCCAGCAGTTTGCCAGTCATGTTGAATTTCTAGAAATCTTCCACTTGCGTGAAAATGGGGTTGACGCCATGTGCTCATTGCTGCAAATACTTTTGGCAAAGAATCTAAAGTCTGTTGGAATATGTTATAATAAAGTTAGAGACATCAATCAATGGAATAAGATTCTCCGCATTAGTGCCACAGGATTCGTGACATCTAAGCCCAAAGTTGTGCCTGGAAAGGCCAAAGGTTTTGAGAATACAAAGGTCTCTAAATCTACCCCAAATCCAACACCACCAAGTACTCCTAGCCCCACAAATGGACAACCACTTCATGTGTATGTTGTCCAAGGACAGAATGACATTCAGCTTGATGTTATCAGTGGGTTAGCTAATAAGCAATCTGTTCTACCGCCAACTTCACAGGACGAGGTCTTAACTCAGGAGACCAGAAATAGAGATTCGCTTGCATCAAAACACATGAGTGATGCAAGCTTGAGTCAAGTTATCTGTATGGACACCCAAGATCATTTGAATGAATATGACAATATTGACTTTTATGACTTTGAACATAAGGAATTACTGGAGATGCATGACGCAGATCAAAGCAAAAATGGAATTGAAAGTGTTCATTTTGACACCAATGAGTTGTACAATGAAGTATTTCAGAAGCAGACCTCTGATGATGGTAGTTTTTCTCTTAATGACTTGTTTGGGCCTTCTCTTATAAATGATCATCAGACGGGGCCTATAACGGGTGCACCCCATCAAGAAAAACAACCAATCGAGCACCAAACGATTGAAATGCCAGCACCAGAGACACCCGAGGCTGTAGGTGGATTCTCGTTTTTGCAGCATTTTGAATTGTCCTCGTTTTGGTTCCACGATGACCTTCTTTCATTGTTTGCTAAGTCACTACAACAGTGGCACAACCTGGAGTCTTTGGTATTGAGAGACAATGCTATTGGTTTTCAATCAAAGGGAAAGATTTTGATAGATGCTCTTATTCCTCTCTGCCTTAAGGGGAAGCTAAGGTACCTTCGCATCGAGATCAACCCTGTCGATGACCATTTTGTATCGTTAATAAGCGAAGGCATCGGGACATATTGTATAACATGCAGGTCAGGTGTCCAGACATCGCTACGAGTGCTTTTTCTTTCATCAAGTAAGATTACAGCTCTTGGTGTAAACCACTTGGCAAAGAAACTTTTGAACAAGTGTTCATGTCCTGCCCCTCAAGTTGAAAGCCGTCACAACCGCAGGTTGAGGAAGAGCCTCCCAGAGCCGCTAACTCCTTCCAAAAGACGCCGTCTCCTTCGACACACTCATAGTCAAGATGGTAGGATCATGGCGGATGATTCTTCTTCCTGCAGTAGTATTAGTACCACAAGCAGTAGTTACTCGTCCAGTTCACAAGACTCTGATTCCCAGGATAGTTTCTCCCAAGAGCTGACAAGTCTTAAGCTAACAAGGCCTCCACAGCCTCAGTTTGATGGCCTGGAAGAGCTCACCATATGCAGTGTTATTGGAGATGAGGGGGCTTTTACATTGTCAAATGTGTTATCCAACAACAGTACTTTGAAGTACCTTGCATTGCCAAGCTGTGGTATCCACACCAGTGGACTTGCTTCAATTTTTAGAGCCATATCTGGTATGTATGTTTCTTTGTTTGACTTTGGGGTCCCTGTGTCAGTATGTGCCACAGGTAGCCCAAGTGAATATATCTTGTATCGAGAAACGTTATTTAAACAGGCAATATAGTTTTGATTCATAGCCCTAACATCTCTAGTAATCAGTTAGGAACAATTCCAGATTTTATATTATCCATACTTTCAATCTCATCTATTTTCTTGGTATCAAATTTTACTTATTAAAAAAAAATCAAAATTTTACTTATTCAGGTGAATCAAGCAGAAAATGCAACAGGACGTTGAAAACTCTGATCCTCAAAGAGAATTGTTATGAACCTTCTCATGATAATAGTTTAGCTGTCCTGCTTAAGCATGGTAAACTCACTGAATTAGACATCAGTTTCTGTGGACTTGAAGGTAATAATGAATGCAAGCTGTAAGGACCTATCAGGTCTGTAATAAGCTTGTAAAATAAGATAAATTTTAACACCATTAAAAGGTAAAATACTTCCAAGAGTGTGAAAGTATCTTATTTCACAACTCACTTACTGTTTACTGCTGGGTTCCATCATTTTGTCTAATAAATTAGTCGTTCTTTTGTGTTGCTTATTTTAACTGTTCCACTTATTAGCATTTAAGGAAGTGTAAAATGGAATACAAATGAAAAAAAATGACAAACACTTGGTAAAATATTTTTGATTGTAACCTAGCTAAAGCAGTGCTTCTGTCTTCTTTGCAGTTGTAAGTGGCGACATGATTAGCTCACTGGGACAAAATTCAAACTTGAAAATCCTCAAAATTGCTGGCAATAGACTTGGTATGTACTGTAGTTATGCACACTTTAAACTTAATTGCATGGTAATGAATATCAAAATTAAATAGATTTGCTTCCACAACCCAGACTTAAGTCTTTGTTTGACTATTCATTATCTCAATGCAGGAGATGCAGGTCTTTCTGCACTGTCACAAGTGTTCAGTCAATCAGGATGTGCATCAGGTCTCACTAAGCTGGATCTCAGGTACATCAATGTAGATATATTGAAATTTATTTCCAAGGGTCTTTCTCCCAGAATAACCTCCTTCTAATATAAGCACTATTCCTTTCCTTTATTCCCATATCATGTTTATTAATAGTGCCATGCAATATTATATATTAATAATAATCAATAATATTAATATTACTGCAACCTAACATCACCCTGACTTTCTACCAGTCTGACCTTGTAGCTCAGCTGGTAGAGCATCGGTAGTACAAATCCGAGGGTTGTGGGTTCGAATCCAAGCGAGGTCAGAAATTAATTTTTCCAAATTTATTTCCAAGGGTCTTTCTCCTGGAATAACCTCTTTCTAATTATAAGCACTTCATTCCTTTCATTTATTTCTCTATCATGTAGATATACGTCTACTACTGTTAGCATTTCTGCTCTTGCACCTGCGCAGCAGACAATGAAAATACACTTGTAATGATTTTTTTTGCATTTGTAGTTACAATCAAGGTACTGCATCGTCCATCAATTTCCTAGCATCAGCTTTGCACAAGTTTCTTCCTAAAAGACTGGAAGAAATCAACTTGGCAGGGAACTTTCTTGGTTCTAGTATTAGCAAAGTAATATCTAGTATCCGTCCATTGGTGAGAAATGTGTTTGCTGGTAACTTAGACAGTAGTACGATTTTTGCCGATTACATCAGCCAGATGTGAAAGAAATTATAATTTACTCTCCTTTGTAGTTCCATGCCTTTGCTTTGAAGTGAGGCAACCAGGGCATGCTATGATATATTTTATCACACTTTTGAAAATTCTCAAGAGCTGATTGGCTGATTAGAGTGTGTCAATAAGTAGATATGTGCTCATACCATCATGTCTCTTGCGTAAGTTCTCAATTGAAAGAAAAGAATTTGGTGTCAGTTTATTTCAATTATATTGAGCAGGGAATTGCGAAGGAGACTAGCACATTGAATTCATATTTTGGAGTGGTTGTCATTTCCCTAATTAGTTATGAGATTTAAACAGAGTGAAAAAAAATCTTTGATGGAGTGAATGCATTCCATATTATTCAGTAGACTTAAAATATTTAAGACATTTTGTTAAAGTACTTCACAAGTTACAGGGGCRGATCTAGGGGGGGGTGAATAGGGTGGCAAGCCACCCCCCATTTTTCTAAGCTCTTCTTCCTTTTTTTTCTCTTATCCCTCAAATATTGAAATATTAATTGATTTCTCCAAAGACTGATTGATTCTACCTACTATTTGCCGAGCATTTATGGAACTCCATCCAAGGAGGATGATGGAACAATCACTTTTGGGGCAGTAAATAGCCTAGATGACATTAGTGGGTGTAATGTATATTCGTGTGTACACGGTAAACTCTAATTGTTCTTGATAAATACTAGTTTTAAACGTGAGAGATTCTTTGCTTCAAGCGAGCATTTCAAAATTTCTCGGGGGATGCCCCCCAACCCCCTAGGGGCTCCCGGCTTCGGCGTTTGGCTTCCATTTTATTACATTATTTTAGCAATTCACCCCCCACTTCAAAGTCCTGGATCCGCGCCTGAGTTAATAGAAATATTTCTTGTGCCCAGATCCTGCTTAGTTTCCCAACAAAAAATCTAAGGCTCTGATTCGAGACAATACCAAAATATATGTATGCTGATGGCGCATGGGAATTTTTGAATCAATCAATCAATCACATTTGTCCTCAATCAGAGCCTTCAATTTTTTTCTTGAGAAACTCAAAAGGATCTCAGTACGAGAATGAACGAGGTAAGACTGCAGCTATATAAGATTGGTATTTTTGGCATTTTTGTGAGGGATTATAACATATAGTGGCGAAAAGAAATCGGCAAAAGAGCAAGGTATATTTTTCCATTCAAGGAAAGCTTTGAATACCAGTGGCTATTTAAGTGGCTGTTTATACAGCTACAGTTTGTAGTTTGCTAGTTTAATACCAATAAGCGCTGCATTATGCAGCTAAGGGTGATGTGACCACACCTACCTTAAATCAATCATCATTAAATGATGTCCAGAAATGGACATATATAAAGTTGAGTTCTATCTGCTACCATTTTTCAAGACTATATTTTGTATTGAGACTTCAAATTATGTTTCCTGAGCTGCAATGTGGTCACATGACCCCAAGTTGCAGAGGGGCTATTGAATGTAACTTTTTTTATAACATTTTGTCATTCATCTTTATCAGAGACATTTATAGAGAGCGTTAGGTCTAACAAATTTGGAGGTGTAATTTTTTTTTTCACTGATCATTCCCTATGGCGAATTTCTTTCTTATTATTTTTACACACCAGAAATGTTTTTGTGTGTAAGCAAATTATATTGGAAAGGCTTTTGTAAAACTTTGCCAATATGTTAGGGCATGCATCACTAAAATTGTGTAATATAATATATTTTGTTTGCAAGTGTTTCAGTTAATAATTGTCATTACTGCCGTAACAACTTTTTAGGAGATTTCACCCTGGCATTGGTATATGTGTAGATGATTTAGATATAAAAGGTTTCTAAATTTTTGTATTATCATTTTCTTGCTTATAGTTACATGCATGTTTAACAAGTTTAATATGTAGATAATCTATAAGGTATTGTGTATTAATGATAATTTATAACCATTGTCTTGATAATGCTGTCAGAATGGCCTTGAACTAATTTTTTAATTGCAGTTGTAATAATTTGAGAATACAAGAATCATCTAGTAGTTAAGTTCTTCACAAATGAAACAATTAAATTAAAGCAATAAAATGTTTAATAATTTATTTTTATGGTTGATCAATATTTTGAAGGATTTGATATATATTCATATAATAGTTTTATAATGATTATTTTTCACTATCCAATATATGGTTCTCTACCACTTTCTCACTATAAAGCAAATTTTAAAGATAGAGATACTTCAAGGACCTTAGTCAACAAGCAGCATCCCATATTTTATTATTGAAAGACAAATTTTGTAATGTTTGAATATAAAATACATCACTTAACATAAGCAATAACTTATACTCTTTATTATCCCTTCATATAGGGTATAGAATGGTATCTCAGAAATTGCGAGGCTCTCCAAAAATTTCCCAAGGCTCGCAAGCTCGGCGCTTAAAAGAAAGGGGCTCAGATTTAAAATCGCTTTTGGCTCAGAAGCCCGCAATTGCTGAAATATCGTTCAGCCGAAGGACTCGTTCAGCCAATTAGGCTTGGACTCGGATTTTAAAACGAGGGGCTCGCAGGCTCGGCGAGGCTCGGATTTTACCATTAGATACCCCTTATAGAGTTATTAAAGAAGTTAAGRTTGTGAATCATTCCCAGCAGATGAATTGAGTTTAATTTTCATTTCATTTTCTGATATATGAAACTTGAATTGTTTAATAATTATTCAACTCAATTATATTATGCCAGTTGATCATGGTCCTTGAATGGCCTTTCACCCTTATGACATTACCAGATCATAGCATTGTTTTGTGAATATGGCATGCAAGACTTTAGTCTCTTTTAACAGTTGCGACTTCTGGTCTCGTCAAATTTCCTCCATGAAAGTAACTTTCTGCGAGGAAATTTGATGAGACTGGAAGTTGCGGCTGTTCAAAGAGACTAGCAAGACTTTTGTACAACGAGAAAAGAGAAAATAATTTAGTAGAGAAGTTAATATTCAATCCTTGCTGTTTGCAAAACCTTTACACCCAACAAGATGACTTAACAATTGGTATTAACTTCAATCCCATAGTGCTTTTCACCAAAAATTGTCATAAGAGGAAAAGGTCGTTATGCACTTACTAGTAGCAATAATTGACAATCTTGTTTAAACAAGTGATTATGGTGTAGCTAGACTGGCACCTAACTTTATAACGTAAATATAATTGTCTCTTTTTTCCATAATAAATTTATGCTGTAATAATTAATTTTTATCTTGGTTTTGTAATAAACACTTTTGAAAATATCAAAATATTGCTATTTATGAATTTCTGTTTAATTCAACATGATTTTTAATCAAATTGTAGAAAATATTTTTGGGATGTTAAATATGAAGATTGTTTTGTTATGATACATGCACTGTTAATATAAAACATTTTTCAAAAAAAGTAGTTTTTATAAGTGGAAGAAAAGGATTTTTTCTATATATTTAGAAATTATAAACTACAGGAAATTATGTTTTTGTTTTTATTTAACAGGTACGTTTCTTTTTTATTAATAATCTTTTTTTCTGTCATTAATGGGTACATAATTATATATCCTGTAGACCATCACACTTTAGAAAAATCATTCACATTTACTTTCACTTTTAGCATGTGCTGGTTAATAATGAGATATAATATTTTAAAGACAAACTAGACAATTATATTCAGCCCTGATGTTGAGTGCAGTTTATATTTTGATTTTTGTCATAAAATTATAATATTTTTCTCTGTAAGGCAGCATTCAACATTTTAGGAGAATGTTTTGTGACCACTTTATATGCAGAATATTATTTTTTATTTTTTCTAAAATAATATATTTTTGCTTACTATAGCTCTATAACCATTGTATTTATAAGACGTCAGGACACTCTTTTGTATTGTCATTTTTGTGCATTATTTGTGATAAAATTTAATCAATATGTGGTCTTTTTTCCTAGATTTCTTTGTTTTGCAGCATTAAGCATTTCTTTCAGACAAAATAATCCTTTCTTTTGACAAAATCTACATCATTTAAAAGTCACAGAATTGCAGCTGGTGTAGTTGTAGTTTTTTTATATACAGTGAAAGTCTTGTATATGGCTGAAATAATTAAGGTCAAGGTAAGACTGTATCTTGCAAATAATATTTTGACTCTACACTGTACAACGTAAATATTCCCTTTTTTGGAAGAAAAAAGAATAAGTCCATCCACCAATCTTATATTTCTAAGTAGGAGAGACTTTAAATAATTAATGGTTTTGGGAAGATTTGTGGCATAATACAAACCAGCTTTTGTCAATATTGACAAGTCACTATGGAAACCAGCAAATATTTCTCACAGTTCTCAATGTCAAGGCACCAATTCATATCACGTTCATAAAAATACCAAAATCATGGACATATTTGGAAAAAGAAAAAGAGATTTCATAATTGTGCTTAAGATAAACAAGTACATTGAGATTTTTGTTTTTAAATTCATCAATAAGCAATATCCACTGTATTTTCAWCCTTTTTTTCTGTAAAATTCTGTTGTTTTTTTTGTTTTTGTCAGAATTGTTATTTGATTTTTATAAAAATTGCATTATTTTTTTCTTTTTGTCTGATTTGACATCTTTTCCCCACACAAATGAGCATTTTTCTCTGAAGTAATAAATCAATTTTGCACAGGAAATGGCAATACACATTTCTGTGTCATGATCTAAAATATTCTAAGAGAAAATTGTGATAAAAAAATGCAACTGGATGTCTTTGTTGGTGATACCTTCAATGAACCCCTTTGCCCCTGTCTGTTGGAGTTGTTCGACTGAAATCTGAAAATAAATAGTAACTTTTTGTGCCTTTAAAATTTATCATTTTGAGTTCTTTTTGGGGTATGAATTGATACACTCAATCGAAAAAGGAAAAAAGAAAAACATGTTATAGTGGGTTCAAAAGTTTCACACAAATCCGAAAATAACTTTTTTTTGTAAAACTACAAAGAGGACATGCCATTCTTAAGATCCTATCTGACAATTCATCCCTTTTTTCTTAGAATCCTTTATCTTGTTAGGTGTGCCAGGAAAGGTATATATTTTTAGATCCAGCTCACTGAAGAGTAATGAAGGAAGTCTTTGCTACTAACACATGTTGAAATTTTCAGTGTGGTGCAAAGGACTTGACAACTGGGAGGCCACACCATGTGGGCCTTTCAATGAGATAAGGAAATTGTTGGACGTGACAAACAACATCGTATAATCTTTTGTTTGCTCTCTATTTAACAAGTTCCGGTTTTCCACTGAACCTGTGTACTTCCTTATATGGTCAAAGGGAATTTTCCCTTCGCCAGGAAAAAAACCTTTCAAGTTTTCAGCGCATAAAAGACAAGATAGTCAATGTTTTTACTTGTCAAGTGATTTTATTATAGACTTCTTAAGTTCAGAGGTTATTTGACCTACAATAAAGTTTCTATAAATCTGGGCTTCTTTGGCATTTTGAATTTTTCTTTGGAGATAATTGCATAGCTAACGATAACAGAACGATTCGGTTATATTGTAGATTGCGTGTTGTAATGTCTAAATTACAAAGAATATTTTCATAATTGTTTTCTTGTTTTCTTGAATAAATAAATCTATATTGTATTCTTCTTAACGATAAATATTATATATTCCATTGCATATTTGCCAGGAATATCGATTTTTTAATAACTGTATTTTGATATATCTGATATGATATAACTTAACTGATTCTAATGCGCTTCGAAATGGTTTTCTAGCACTGAAGTGGTTTCTTCAAGCGAAGTGTTACTTCTACTTTTACTACTATAAAATCACGTGCCAAACCTCTGATCAACAGAGACACAATAAAATACCTGATTTTAATGAGGCACTTTATAAATAAAGCTAAAACTAAAATGTTCACTGAACAGTTCCGTGTATATCACGTATAAAAAGCCTTTTGGACTCGAGGCATCGATAAAACGTGCTCAAAACCACAACATCACACCTGTTGCACTGGATTCTTTCTCTTGTAATGCACAGTTTACAAGTTCGTGTTTCACTTTGAAAATATGGCACTTCTCGTGCTCCAGAGAGAGTGATTAAAGGCTTGCTGTTTCCTTTCAACACACAGAGTCATCACTTTAAGACTGTGAAGTCAAGTAAACTTTACATCCTCCGTTTATGTGCGTCATAACTTGCTCCTTCAATTGGCAAATTTGTTTTCGAAGTGCGAGCGCTTCGGTCTGCAGCCCACTGTTGATCTCTTTTAGTTCGCTGACCTTTTTCTCAAGTTCTGCTTCTTTTTCTAACTTTCTTCTCCGGCACTTCGACGCAGCCATACGATTTCGCTGCTTCTTTCGTTCGCTCTTTACTGCTTCCTGGAGTTCCAAGTCGATTGGCGGTAATGGAGGTGTGCCTGTACCAACTGGCACAACTTGGAGAGAATCTTCGAACTTTACTTCACCCATCCGACTTTGATTGCTGAAGCTAAAGTTCGTGGCTCCATTGGGAATATTTGATGGAGCAGTGATAGTAATTCCATTAGTTTGAAACTGAGGATAGATTTGAGAAGTAACGCCAACATTGTTAACCGACTCTAGCGGAAGTGCCTCAGTGGCTATCGTAGACAATGCGTTTGGCGGAAAATTTGGAGCTGTATTCAAGTTTGCCGTGGTGTTTATAGGCATTTGTGGCTGCATTGCCATAGCTGATGTTGTCATAGGCATTGGTGCTTGAGTTACGACCATTCTTGAAGGCATTCCTACCGTACAAGTCGTTTGATTTTGTGTATAAGCGGACGACACAACTGTTGAACCTGGTGGACCCTGTTCTTGATGTAGTTTCTGAAGAGCTTCCAAAAATCCTCTAGCATAAAGTTCTTGTTGCTCTGTAACAGTTAGGTTGGGATTGGTACTGTTCTTCAATCCCTGTGGTGTTGGAGTAACAAGAGATGCAGAATTTAAGATCAACTTTTCTAGTTCCGGTGAGGCCAATTTTAGTAGGTTCAGATCTGGCGAAGTAAGAATTGAATTGTCGAACGGGTTATGGCGAAGAGTGCTGTTCAAGTCGAGTTTCATGGTAGTTTTGTCGTACATCGTTTTTTCAGAAGAAGAATCTATTGGCATAATATCGTCCTCATAAAAAGGGACGTCCATTCAATCCTCAAAGACTCGCTAAAATGAGGAACTAACTTCCGAATCAGCTGTATTGCATAAAACGCTGAGCTACTCGTGATTTAACCATACTTTTATCGCCTACGCGCCTTGTATTATACAGGAGTTAATTTTGTGTATGATGTAATGTATATTCTGATTGGTCAGAAATTTAAATTATTCAAAATTCTCGCCATTTGATTGGTTCATTTTTTGAGTATGTGCCACCTTGGGAATATTCATGTGACATCTCGAATTTACTGATGACGTTAGCTTCAAAACATGTTGTAAACAAAAGCGGATTTCCAAGGACAACCAGAGAGCGCGAATTTTCCTTTCAAATTGAACGTGTTTCTCGGTGAAAAAAGATATCGCGTTTCAAAAAAACGTTTAGGTAAACTAATACCATTTTAATTTTTCGCGGAAAGGGTATTCTTTTTGCAAGGTCATGTCTATTTTTCGCGTTCTGTTCAATGAATACAGCAGCCGACGGGAACTCTCGAGCGTTTTCCTATATCATATTCACTTTGACAGAATTACAGCACTGCAGATATGCCACTGAGCTAGTGCAGCTTTTTTGGCAATGCGATGACTTGACAGAATTTCAGTCGTTTTTTATCCCTTTTCTTTTTGCTGAATTTACAGAAAAAAAAACTACGCATTTGGCGAAAACGTGACTTCTGTATGCTAATTAGCACGTCAAAGGCACCGAAGTATGTTACCACACCTTTTACGTCAATGATTGAATCTATAATGAGATTGAAAGTTCCGGAAGTTGAACTATATTGCTCGTGGGGGTTTCCGGAAAATTGCTCGACCGGAAACTTTTCGTTGGGTCTGACAATAGTCTGAACGCTCATTATGTTGTTTGTTTGGCTTATTTGTTTATCATGTCTATTATTTATGATTATGGGTTAGGATTTTTACGGTGAAAACGTACTTTTGAAATAAAAATATAGACATTTTTTGGTCGAACTAAGATGGTATGACTGAGAGAAATAGTTCACTCGCGGCATATGTATATAAGTCGCGGCTATTCTTAAGACGTGACCTTGGCTAAAAGCGGAGTCAACCCACTGAAAAAAAATCTACACTGGTATCATCACATGTACTTATTCGCCCAAGCGACAACATTCTACTCAAAGAGAAACTTTCGCCTTTCAAAGCAAAGTCCATTTCACAAGAATCACGTACAAGTAGAACAAGTATTGCTTTTCAATACCGGAAATGCGAATTAAATTACCCAAAGTTAATTGTGGTCTTCCTGTGTAAAATGGTTTGACCTCAGTTTTGGCGCCAAAATATTTACGCGCGCGTCCACACTAAGTTATTTTTGAGCGGGAAATTTTATGAGGTGCGAAAGCCACTTGCATGTTGTGCTTTTCTTTGAAATACAAGTATATTTAAACCTTTATTAACCTTGCAAGCCTTTTCTGCTTAGTAAGAAACTTTCTAGTATTTGTTTTATTACCTATGCTATGAGGTCCGTCAAGTCCGAGAATTTATTTGATTTTTAAGTGCTACAAAACTCCTGTTTTGCTCTCAAGATGGCTAACAGTAGCTCACGTAGCTTTATTTCATCGAATTCCTCCGCTGAAATGCCTCAAAAGAGTCTGTATTTCACTCCAGCAAACCAACTTGGTGGCCGCATAAATACAAGCTCCTTATCTTCATCTGGAAGAGATAACAGGAACAATAAGCGTCGTCTATCTTCTGATACAGAGAGTACTTTTTTGGAAAGGAAAAGACCACAGCCATTAAGCTTAATTCCTACGGCGACTCGTACTTCTCTGTCATCGTCTGCAAATAGTAGCGCCTGTAGCACTGGCAGGCAGCATAATAATGAAGATTTGTGCGAGGAAGATGTTGTTTCACACAGAAATATGAATAATGGCCGTCTTTTTGATGATGATGAAGAGGGTAGCGGAACAGTCAAGGTTAAAACTTAGCTCTTAATATAATTTGTACTTCCCTAATAAGTTGTCTTGACTGTTTTTATCGGAACTTACTTTTACACCCACAAATTGTTATAATTTTTTGAGTTTTTCCGCTCTCAAATCAAGTTCACCGATATTTTAGGTCGACTAAATAACCACGCACAAAATGAAGAGGCTCCGGGAAGTCTGACTAATTTTTTCCTCCCTTTTCGTGCTCAGTTATTTTGTGAATGATTATCCAACAATTCATACATTCATGTTCCATTCATACGTTTTGTTTCACAGTTTTGATGATGTTATTTATTTGTAATATTTTTTTTCCAGACTGTTTTGTCAACAGTCTGGAGTGGTGGCAAGCTCGGGGCATCTTACTATGACACAGACAATGCACAGATATACCTGATGATGGATATAGTTGAAACAAGTGACTTTGAAATACTAAAAAGAGGTAAGGATGAGTCACCAAATTGTTTATTTCTCTCCCATGAAGTTATTATCATAATGCAATTGTCGAAGAGTGATTAAAAAGTATATTTTAATCTATTTTTCATTTAATCGTATTCATTTATAATTTAATAATTTGTTTTTATTTTTCTAAATATTCACCTACTCCCTCATTTTTTTACATTCAATTAACGAATTTCAATTCTGTGCAGGTATTTTTTTTTTTTTTTTGGGGGGGGGGGTGTTTTTTTGGAAGGAGGCTGTTTTTCTTTGGTGGGAGAGATGTTTTTTTGTGTATGCTTGTGTTGCTTTGTTAGTTACATTTTTGTTTTGGCATTTGTGTACAATATTTTTACAGTCTGTGTAATGCATTGGTTTGTGCTATGTTCGTTCATAGTAAAAGATGAAATCAAACCAGACATCATTATAACAAGCTCAAAGCAAGATGACAGATTTCTTGCTGTACTTGAAGGGCAAGGTAAATAATTCAAAGCACAGCTTGAATAAGAACGTGAAGAAGAGCCAACTCCGACTACCTGCATCCTTAATCCCAAAAACATTTGCTTTATCTCATTGGGTTGTTTTCCTTTTTTTTCTCAAAATTTTTTCTTTTCTCAAATTTGTTTGTTTCTGCTTGCCTCAATTACAGATGAACAATTTGTCCATCATCCATCTGATTTAGTTGTACTTTCCATTTTCAATTCCAGAGGGAGAAAATAATGAGGAACCAATGGTTAAAGTTAAAGAAATTGAAATTTTACCCACAATTGATTTCTGTAAGTAGCATATATAAAAATTAGCAATACATGGCAACAAAGCATGCAACACTGCATAGAAAGAATATCATTAGTCAAAATTTCCATTTGTTTCTGAGTATCTATCCCCAATGTAAACATACTGTGATGTCATTATGCCATAAGACAAATTGAGCCATTTTGGAAATATTGGTGCTTTAGGCACCCCCATTCTTCACAACCCATGAGGGCACTTTTTTACGCAGTATACAGGGAAGTGAATGAGTGAGTGACTTAGTGAGTGACAGATCGTTCCCATGAATCCTCAATTGCTAACGCAATCTCCGAGTTAAAAATGACTGGTATCTTTCAAACTAGTGCTCTAGCAAAGACATACGGACAGCCATAGTCTAAGATATACTGAGATGTAAATAATAGCTAATCTCAGTTATTTTGTGCTCTAGCTTTAGAAGTATGCAAAAGACGCATTATATCAATCAATGGACTGCCTGGGATGCCCCAGCATTTTAATGACATGGAAAGAAATGTGTTCTTCAGCTCTCTTATTCCCTTTGACAATGTAAACATGGTAAGGGAGCAAAAAAATCAAATATTAATGATTTATTAATGATTTATAGAACATTGTGGATCCATAATGTTGATGAATTCTGATGGGCAAAAAATAATTGATTTGTCAGTATAACCTTCATTATCATCTGTATTCATTTTCGTATCATTTCATAAACACAATCATCAACATTGTTTTGTGATCATCTACATAATTATATTTTCGTTTTTTTAGGTTCGTTCAGCTGGTGCCTTACTAAAGTACCTTGAGAAGAAACGATTTGGACTGGAACTAGAAGACCCTGATGTGCCCGTTCCTATTCTTGCTCTTAAAGTCTTTTCTTTGTATGTTGGAAGAGTAAAATATTCATATTTCAAATCTATTTAAAGATATGAAACTTTTTGTCCATGGAACCCTTCTTTCGCAAACACCAGACTTGTCTCTCGAGTTCTGAACATTGTTTTTTGACCCACAGACAAGACATGGTCATCGTTGATGATAACACTTACAGGTAAATAAAACAGTATATTGATTAAAGATAAATTTAATTTCTCTACTTTATATTAGCATTTTGTTTAGTGCTTTGCAGATTTTTAGGAAGGAGACACACCCTTCTGTCTACAAACAGGGGACAAGCTCCAAGGAAGGACTTTCATTATTTGGTAACTCTTTATCTATGGTGCATCGTTACTAACCACCCAATACAACATTTAGCAGAGAATAACACCTAATTACTTTCGAGCCGTGTGAATTAGGTAGAGACGTTTATAGCAACGCGTTAGCATTAGAAAATTTAGCTTCTATCTGAAGATTCTATGAGTACCAGCCAGAAAAAAAGGTATTTTGATATCTTTGCAGGTGTTATGAATCGGACAAGGTCAAGTCTTGGGAGTCGTTTACTCAGGTACATAATAATTAATTATGATACAACATCTGACGTTTTTTCAATTTTCAATACTTCCTATAGTAACAAAAAACGAGAGTAAAATTTGTTTCAAAATAAGCCTTCCGCTACGTTTTTTTAAATGTCTTCACGAAGAATTGAAAAATCTTCTCATGTAATTTTTTTCTAAAAGTTGTGGTAAACCAGAAGAAAGTCATTGGACAATGTTTTTTGTACAGTTCTAAATATGATGTTTATTTATGGAAATAATTCAAAATAATCGCGTTTCTGTGCAGAATATGGTTTATGAGACCAACAAGAAACCTTGACGTGCTTAAACAAAGGCAAACAGCCATCGGCTTTTTCATGGCATCAAGAAATCAAGAACTTGTTGCTTCTTTACAAGACTGTTTGAAAAACATGAAGAACATATCGGTAAGACATTATGAGAGCTGAGTTGCACGGTACGATATCGATTGTCGTGTGCGACTTGTACTTAGTATACTATTTTCCTATGATAAAGTGATAAGATTTCGAGCCGCTGTCCTATAATTCCTACTACAAGTCGTAAGTTGCGTGCTGCTGCTGTAGGCACGATTTGGAGCTCATTTGAATCGTATCTACAAATCGCACGCGACAATCGTTTCATCGATTTTTGATGTGATATGTTATCTTTAATATTTTCAGAGAATACTTAGTAGAATGAAAACTGCCCAGGCTTCAGTAACAGATTGGCAAGCTTTGTATAAGGTAGATGTTATATCTCTCAATATAAAGTACTTAGAGCCGGTTTACCATCATTTTGAATATCTTAATTGCAGACTGTGTACAACGCCGTATATCTAACAGATTTATGCAGAACAATTCCATCAGACATCAAAATTGCCACAAAGGTGAGGAGCACGGATCCACAGGTTGGGTGTGGTCGGTAATGACGTCACCACCATAAGAACTGTGAAATAAAGAAATGTTCCTACTTGAAAGCTTAGACAACACTGTTACTTATTGTACGTTCTCAAGAATTGACAGTCCTTTACTTTTAGTACTTGCCATATGGCATAATTACGTCACAGTATGCTCAGAAAAACTCGAAATTTGGACCTATTAACATTCTTTCCGAAAGTAGAACTTTAGTGCATCGAGTTTTGATGTATATCTATGATAGCTCATCTTATTTGATATACAGTCACTCTGATCTGGCAACCATAATTTCCTCTACTTTACTATAATTGTATACAGTGTATATCAGTGTATTTATGTATACTTATGTATACTTGGTGATTTTCTATTCTTCCAACTATTGTAGGTGAAAGACCATTTTACCCACGATCTGCCTCGGATTGCCAGTCTCATTAACAAAATCGTAGATTTCGACGAATCTGTAGAACAGAATCGTTTCGTTGTCAAGCCTGGAGTTGACCCAGTATTAGATGAAAGTAAGTCGCTAATTTACTGTGTGATCATGATGCAAAAACTACTACTAGACACAACCGCTATTACTATAAGACAAATCAAAAACTAGACAGGGAACAATTCTAAGATTCACAAAAATTACTGACATTTTTCCTTTGTGTTAGAAAAACGGACTTATAACGGGTTACCTGATTTCATGACAAAAGTAGCTCGCGAGGAGTTGAACAAATTACAGGCTTCCATCACAGAATGCAATGTCATTTATTTGCCACAGGTAAACTACTATTTGTTTTGTTTTTTGTTTTTGTATTTAATAGGCGCAAGGCGGTGAGCATTTACGTTCATCGAAATTTTCTCACCATTTGAAAAATTTCGATCAACGTGAACACTCCTCGGTTCACGGCTGGATAACTGAAAGGGTACGCAGTCAGTCCTGGAAATCTGGACCGTTTCTTGGTAAAATACTACCTCGACCCTGCCCACTTTGATTGTGATCGTGGTTGCAGGTTAAAAACGTCTATGCTCTTAATTATCATTCATAAGAATTTTTATATGAAATATAAACATAGAATGGGTTTTCTTTCAGTTGGGATATTTACTCGCGATTCCACGCACTGCTGACATGAAAGAAGAAAAAGACTTTGAAATGGATGGCCTTGAATTTGTTGTGAGTACTTTTATGCAGTATTACCAAGTATAGAGATCCAATTTTCGTTAGTTCCCGGTTCCTCAACACTTGTGGTTTGTCTTAGTGTAAAATGGCGCGTTTTTGAATAAAACATGCATCTTTTTAATATTCATTAAAATCTTGATTTGCGATCACCATTACTACAAACCATACGAAAAATACAGAAAAGATATGAAGGACATGTTGGTGTACATCGTTGTACAACAATTATATGCTGTATCACTTATCCAAATATGGTATGTACTTTTTCCATCACAAACGTTGATACTTCCTCTTTTACTCTCCCTTTTAGTTCCTCTCTAACAATATGGTTTACTATAAAAGTCAAAGTACGAAAGGTTAGCATATTCTATCTATTTTTGTTTATATTATGTTGTTATACTGATCGAGTGTTTCCAAATTCTTTTTTTTTGTCAGAACTTGATGAATTGCTTGGCGACACACAATGTGAAATAACAGGTAATATCACTTTTACAATTTTAAAGAAGTTCCGTTATTATTAAATGTGTTATCTCTGTCTTTTTAAAACTGAATTCCGGTAATTTTCAATTTCAATTTCAATTTTTTCAAAGCCGTTTTTGTAATGAGGTCATCACGGCGCATATTTTCAAAGATCTCATATCGAAGTATATAACCATTTTCAACTTCATCATTTTTGCTAATTCAGATCACGAAACAGCAATCATGCATCGACTACAGTGCATTATTCTCGATCACACTAAGGTTTTGCTTGGAATGATGGAATGTGCCGCAGAATTTGATTGGTATTTATCGATCCATTACCTTACTAATAATTAATTGAAATGATTTATCAAAAAAAGCATGAAAGTAGTTGTTCAAATTTGATTAAACATTTCTTCATACTATTATCGGTTTTCACCCACGTGACTCTTTGCTGGACTAAACGGTTGCTATCCGCCATGTTGGTGCACAACCAAATGTAAACACTGAGAGTTAGCTTTCGTACGAACAACACTAAATAGCGTCTTACAACTATAATTTATAATTTACAATATTTCAGTTTGCTTTCCCTGACGATATGCGCACACGAAGGCTGTTATGTTCGTCCGGAGATGACCTCGGAACCGATCTTTGATATCAAAGGTGGAAGGTATGGACGTTTTTATTTTCTTGGGAGGATCCTCTTTTTCAAAAACTTTTTGGATTTTTTTCTGAAACTATAGATCCCATGAATATGACGTCATGGAGTCGAGCCAGCTTTACTTGGGGACATAGTGAAAACATTTTTCTCTCTTGCAAATGAGAACTGCAATAGTTTTAGCTTTAGTGGAGCTTCATTCCCATCTTTATGTTTATTCATTACTATTGGCAAAAGACATGTCAACTGGTCATGACTGAAATCTCCTTCACTAAACAATGTCTTGTAGGCATCCTCTGCAAGAGCTGTGCGTCTCCCAGTTTGTACCCAATGACACAGTAAAACAAAAGGACAAAGATAGAATGACAATCATAACTGGGCCAAATGCAAGCGGGAAAAGTGTCTATCTGAAACAGGTATAAGTGTCAAATATATTTTTTCCCATGTCGGTTTTATTTTGTACCGATTTCACAGAGCATGCGCAATTGTATTTTCCTCATTGCGCATTGTGCTTATCCAACATGGTTATTTATCTGAAAAAAAGATAAATAACCTACTCGAATTTTAATTTCCTTGGTATATTTTGCTTCGTTTTTTATCCAAGAAAGTGCATGTTTTTGTATTCAGCTGGTCAACCTCGTTCCCAGGGCCTTATCCCTTCGCTCAGTTGGTTTGATTCGTCTTATTTTGTTCATAAGACTTTGTAAAACAGAATTTAATTCTCGCAATTCTTGTCCTTCTTCGTCCTATTTTATATTCTTTGTGAACTATAATCTTTCAATTCCTTTGGGATTCGCGGGTATTCTTCCTAGTGCATCTTGTGCTGACATAGTTTATTAGGATTCTACTGATCTTTAAACTGAACCTTTTTAAGGTTGGACTTATCACATTCATGGCTCATATCGGTAGCTTTGTTCCTGCCGAGAAAGCTACTATAGGGACAACTGATAGGATCTTTACTCGCATTCATACTAGAGAAACAGTTTCTGTTGGTTTATCGACCTTTATGATCGACCTTGGGCAAGTAAGTTATTACATAAGATTGTGTTCTTCTTTCCTCATACAATTCCAATATTTATTTGGAATTGAGATCCTCGGCTGCCAAAATGGTTAGACCCCTTTTGAGTGCTCTTCTTTGTATTATTACCGAAGGATCAATCTCCTCAATAATTCTTTACAGTGTTAGAATTATCTTTATAGCGGAACTCATTAATAATAAGTGGAAACGAAATCAAAACAATCTGCCCCGAACGGATCTGTAATGGGAAAACAATCGCCAAAGCGCGAGGAGGTCTGAGTTTATTGATACCATGTCAAATGGTTGAACCGCTTTTTATTTGCAAACGTCAGGTCGCTACTGCAGTTCAAGAAGCTACAGAACATTCTTTGGTTATCATTGATGAATTTGGAAAGGGAACAGCAACGGTATGAGTTAGCAATTCTTCGTTTTCACTATACGTCACATCGGCCATCTTGGAGGAACTTCAACAAAGAATTTTTCATTTCTGTTCTTCATTCCTCCAACATGGCCGCCGGTCTTTTTATCCGGTTTTTGAATCTCATGGAAATGGTTCAAAACGATCAATACGTGTTTGTCTGTGTAAGACATCCCCGAATTAGATTACCTCCATCGAATAGATAACAACTGTAATCGTTTCCAGTATTGAAGAGGGCATGATGTTTTGTTTATTGAAGGTGGACGGTCTTTCGCTCTTGTGTGCAACCTTAAAGCATTGGATAGCTAAACAAGAAAAGTGTCCCAGGATCGTCGTATCTACACACTTTCACAGTCTTATCCGACAAAGCCTTTTACCAGATACACCATTTGTACATTACCAGGTATAAAACAGTAAACTAGAAAATGAGGGGTGTATTAAAGATGCAAGTCTTGGGAGGGCGTGTCTCTCCACCCAGATGGATCTTCTTTTTACACGTAAAAATGTAAATCTAAAGCAAAATTACAACAACAAAAATTTAAAAGAAAATGTCTAGAAAAGAAGTTAAAACCTCTGGCGAACTAGGCTCATAACAGAAATTTATTTTAAGAAATTTTCACTACCTATACTGCATTGGCTGTTCTTGTATTTTCATTGTGCACAATTACAGCTACAATCTTATTTTTAGACAACTGAGGTAATGCAAGATGGCGAGGAACTAGTATTTCTTTATCAACTAGTAGAAGGCCATGCCAACTGTAGCTATGCTTGTCATATTGCTCAACTAGCTGGAGTTCCCGCGGACCTTGTGAAAAGATCTGCAGAGGTATATATATAGAAAACTAATAACTGTCCGCCATTAATCGTTGAATCTTCTAGACCCTCTTTTTCATTGTGGGATTTGGGTGAAGTCAAATATTTCACTTTTAAAAAATAAATCAATCAAAAATATCAAAAATATCAATGATGACTACTTGGGCTTTGAACAAGTAGTAACGTTCTTTGATAGTTATATTTCAAACCTTTCTGGATTTTTCTTTAATTTTTTTAAATGTGATTACCATTGTAAAACGTCAAGGGCGAGCAATGCACTTAAGAGCTCAACAAAAACTTTTTTGCGCACGCAAATTTCGAACGAATTACAACGGAATGGCCTTAATTTCATTAATCTAATTTGAACAGGTCTCTGAGATGATAAGATGCAACAAGCCTTTGCAAAGAAGAGATAGTCTTAGTTTAGATGTTCAACAAAAAAGGTATAAAAGCTGCGTATACTAGATCGAGGGACATCAAAATACTTTAATTCCTTTTTAGCTGATCACGATTTTAAAATTTCTTTTATATAAAGTACAATCAATATAGAGTGCTCACACTAAATGCGTGAAATATAAATACTACAAAATAGGTGATAAATTATACAAATTCCTTTGTTTCCTATTGTATAATCAACACTATTTAGTAGTAATTAGTACTATTTGTTTCACGCTTTAAGTGCGAGCACTCTACCTGTTACTTAGAGAGAAGTAAAAACAAACTTGTGAAATAGATATTACACTAACATTTTATCTATTTGACTTTTTCACACATTCTATTTCACTCTTTGAAGTCAATTTTTGTTTTACGGGTTAATGACCTCACGCTTTTTAGTGTGAATTGTTACAAAATACTGTGTTGATTTTTGATTAGAGACAAGGAGACAAAGGAATTATAGCATAATTTAGTTCCATTTTATTAGTTAGTCATTTTTATTCGTCTGTGAAACAATTACTATTAGTCAGTGTTTAATAGTTACTATTAGGGTGTAGTAGGCTACCAAAATTCAAAATCAAAACCGTGTTTCAGTTGTCGCATGTCATAAGTTAAACTATTGGGTGCTAATAGGGTGTAATAGTATTTAATAGAACAATTCCTATTCCACAGACGAATGAAAATGACTATTTCTTAGGTATATTTTTTTGCATTCCATGAAAATGTATTAACCGCTGCGGTGCTCTGAACATGTCTGAATCATCGTATAATGATCATTTCGATCGGCTTTCGAGTGCAAGTTATCTCCAACACTGCCCTACGAATATTGTCACTTTGACTGAAAATACTTGTTCTTTTATTTTACTTTCAGATTCAGTACCATTGTAAATCGATTCGTCGATCTCAACCTTGAAGAAGACGATCTCAGTATGTTTCTATCGACGTTCGTTCTCCCAGTAAGCCATGGCCAAAACCCGCAATAACATGTGAAAAATTTCCATATCTGTCACAGCATGAGCGTTGAAGCTCCAAAAATAACGTTATTCACAGTATGATATTACTATTTCTACAACTTACAAGATGTTTGCTGGTTAATCCTTATTTAGGCACATCATTATCTACCTTATTTTTAAGTATCGTGACGTCAATAGCATATACATGAGAATGCACGTCATGCTTAAGCAGTTGTGTGTGACAGGAAATACGTCATTATCACGTTGCGCCACAGGTGGCAGTAGTGCTTTTAGAGCTCTTAAAAAAAATACTGCAGCGTCACGCATACGTTGGCAAATGACGCAGCTTTTATGATAAACATAGATGATAAACATTTAATGCATTAGAATCTAAGGCCCTCTAAGATGGCCGTCATCGTTCAAACGAGTACAAACAAACAAGCCAAACACTGAGTAATCGGATTGGCGTCATTAATAGACGGAGGCTGCTCGATTAACTATGTTTTAAGGGATTGGAGTGACTAAAATAGTGAAAAAATTACTTATGTTGCTATTAAGTTGGTTTTATAGACAAAATATATTTTATATCAATTTCAGTACTTTTTCCACAATTACTATGCATGATATTTTCACTGATGAAATTGTCTGTCGAAGAATATTCTGCAAAAGCACGACAGATTTTGAGATATTTTTGTACTTTAAATTGAATTATATTCATCAAATATTCTTTTTATGAACTCAAGTTATTCATAAAAAGTATTCGTTTTTGTCGAAAATTTAGAAACGCGAAAAGAAAGAAAGATTRAGAATCTGGATTTTAAGACCATGGCAAGAATAGTCGTAATATCGTAATATACGTGTGGGCTTATTAACTCTGTCTCAATAYCCTTTAATTGTATTTAAGTTTTCTCCTTGTGTTCATCAAAAAAACTCTTTCTTTACATTCAAATATATGAGAAACAGGAACTGTAGTGTACATCGTTCTGTATAGATTAACCTTTTCTACAGACACATCAGTACGTTTCCGTGTAGTCCCTTCACATTATTCCTGTTTCACTTTCTATGACATCAATACTACGTCACTCCTAAGAGAGCTTTGATTACTATAAGTATGTTGCAACAGCCTGTGCATTTATCACTTTTAGTATCGCGTACATGCTGGAACGAGACAATATTACGTATAAGTTTGCCTCATATCATTGCGAAACTCAACGAGGCGATCAAAGGCTTAGATAGCCTCCACCCCCTCAGGGGCTTCTTGCTCTTGACACAGGAAATCCAAAACAGGAAAAAAAGAACTAAAATCGGTGTTATCTGGTGTTATGGTTATCTAATCTAGATGCAAGATTCTATGGATATAATTCCCTTTTCTTCACTATATAAAAAAGTGCGCATTTGATATATAGTTACAGAATGTACATTTATCTATTCATATCTTCATTAAATTAGAACCCTTTTCCTTTCTTACACAGTTATCTCTCAAATGATGGCTATATGAAGAAGTCAGTACATATATATAGATTCGCTGGACCGTCTCTCGCTCACTCGTAGCTGCGCGCATGAAGTCAATCAAAATTTTAGTTGCTGGATTTCCACCCATTTTCTTCGGTAGCAAAAATACGTGACATTGGACACTGATTTTGTGTCTGCTTATTAG